TTCAACCCTCTTTAGTCTAGAGATGGAAATAATGCTGCGGACTACCTGGCAGTATGTGCAAAAAATGGGATGGCTACGAATGGGATACTTATTAAAGCACCATCTCATGTACTTCGGATTTGGAGAAGGATGCTGTGAATATTATTGCTGTACTCTCTATTAGTAATGGTTGTGGATCTGGTGCTATGGGCCGTGCTGAAATAGGCTAGTTAATTATGGCCAGAATGTGATATGTAAACTCTTGCACTTTTGTTTAATAAAACTTCTTTTGTTAAAAAAAAAAATACTACCTCCGGTCCTAATTATAAGACCCAATGACTTATTTGAAGAGATTAAGGAAGTAAGTTAAGTTAGTTATTTGTAATAAATAAGTGTTGTCATTCCTAAAATATCCTTGCTAATCAAGTATATTGGCTAGAACTATCATTATTAGAAGGATTATCTTGGAAAAAAATGCATAAATATGAGAGACAAAATGGATTGGGGTCTTATAATTAGGACCAAACAAAAAGTCAAACGGGGTCTTATAATAAGGACCGGAGGTAGTAGCTCGTGGATATTTCAAAAGAAAAAAGACATTAATTGCCTTTAAAAATATGCAAAATATATGAAAAATAAAAAATGAGGCTTTCTAAGACTCATTTTATATTTGAAACGCAGGGAGCCTCTGTTACTATTTTTGTTTTTATGCTTTCATAAATAAATGATTGGGGGGTGTTTGGCTACTATGAAAAGTAATTTTTTAAAAACACTTTTATACAGATCGTAATAAATTTTTTTATATATTTACTTCTTATATTGTAAAAATATTTTTAAAATTATAGTTTTAATTCTGATAATGTAATCATAATGTGATCATTTCGCCACGGTCACCTATATATGAAAATTTTCAGCATTTCATCCCATCATCGCTGGTGTTGAAACGTGTCAACCATACAACGCTTGAGGTGTCAGTTTTTTCTTTTCCAAATACAAGGGCGAGAGAGGGAAGTTGTCATGCCTCCTCTCATACTTAGTACCTGGGGTTTGGCATTTGAGAAAAATACTTTTAAAAAGTATTTTTTTAAAATCAAGATAAATCTTTTTTTACTTATTTACTTCGAATGTTTTAAAATCACTTTTGAAACTATTATTTGATTTCCATCCAAATATCCCCTTAGAGAGGTCTAAATAGATCATTTTAACTAATTTTTGTAAACTCAAATTGAAATAAAAATAAGTTAGTTTAATATAATTTATATTTGATAATTTCTTTAGAAAAAACAGTTTGGCAAAATTTATTTATATCATATATATTGAAAAATCAGTTGTAAAATCTGCTCAATTTTAACATGCTTCTTGCTTCTCAACCTAGTCTTTTCAGTTCTCAATGCCAAACACACAATTAAATGCCTCCTTTTCCTAACGGGATTAGTGATTACGCAGGATAGATCTCATTGCGCACCGAAGTGTACCAAAAAATTGCCATTACATGCTTTTTGATAATAAAATATTACTGTTAGTTAAATAATAAAGCTGCAAAAGACTTCGTTTGGATTACCGTTTGGAATGTTAAAAGCACACGGGAAAGCATGAAACTGGGGTTTATGACTTATTGCAGCTCAAAAGATTGTTTGGATTGATCTTCGTTTCTAGTTGACTTATAAAAAAAAGTAATTTTTCTAACTGACTTATTCAACGCAATTTGAATCAACTTTTCTAACTGACTTATGGAAAAATTATGCAAAGCTTACGATCTAATTAGTTATGTGATTCTATTTACTTTAATTAGAGACCAAATAAATTTTAATTTATATCAGTTTGTTCATTATGTATATTTAATTAATTATCTACAATATATTTTCAAATTTTTCTTCGTAACAAATATTTTTATTTATAATTTTACAAACAACTATTTATATTTTATCATAATAATTTTACGTGTTTCTTTAAATTATTATCACATTAAAAATATAAAATTTCAAACACTACTCCATATCCTTTTCAGTCATTTTACAACTAAACTAACTTTTCTATTAATCATCCAAACAACTTTTGACTTTTTCAACTGACTTTTTAAAAGCATCTATCCAAATATAAATTACATTACACTAACTGACTTTTACTCTAATTTCAATTACAAAAGTCAGTTGGGTTAGAAGTCAGTTTTGTCCAACGCCAATCCAAACATATCCTTACCATAGGTTGCAACTGACAGTTACTCGGTGAAGAGGAAAGACGCATATATCTACATTTGCCTTCTATTTCCAAAGGTCACCACGGAAACGCGTGGAATCCTTATGCAGCACTCACTAGTCTTCAACTCAGACCCCATTATTTTCTGTGTATTTTCTGCGAACTTTGTTAGCTTCATTTACCAACTAACAATGACTTGGACTCTTCGAGTTTACTCTGACATTGCCTCACTAGTCTTCTACGGCATATGTGCCTTTTCTTCTCAAGTGTCTTTCTTCTGCGTTCTCATTCATCTTTAGCAGCCAGACCCAACTCACATTTTGCACAGGTGAAAGCTGAAAGCATAGGCCCGAGAATTCATGTTCATGGTTTTGAGTCCCCTGCGGCCGCCATTAGTTTTTTTTTCAGTTGTATGAATCTTTCTCACACTACACTCCGATGAGAACATCATTAGTTTTATGGCCTTCCTTCTTTTTCTGTTATTATTGGGCATGTCTTAGTTTCAACGTCTCTCTGGTTTCTGGGGGTTATGTCCCCTGTCTTGACCAGCAGAAAATTTTGTTACTTCAATTGAAGAAAAACGTCAAATTCAACCCTGCTGGTTCCAGAAAATTGTTGTTATGGAATGAAAACAGCCCTTGCAATGAGTGGAGAGGCGTAAGTTGGGATGAGGAGGGACACGGTGCTGGTCTGGACCTGAGTGAAGAATCAATATCTGGTGGACTCGACAATTCTAATGCTCTGTTCAGTCTCCAAAATCTCAAGCATTTGAATTTGGCTTTCAATAACTTCAGTTCTGTGATTCCATCCAGAATCAAGGATTTGAAGAGCTTAACTTCTCTTAATTTGTCAAATGCTGGTTTCGTGGAGCAGATACCAAGGGAGATTGCTCAGCTCCCAAGGTTAACCATACTTGATCTGTCTACTTCTTACTATTTAGGGGGATCATCTCTGAAACTTGAGAATCCAAATCTGGCGGGGCTTGTTCAGAACCTCAGTGAAGTTAGAGAACTATATCTCGATGGCATTAATATAGCGCTCGAGGGAAATAAATGGGGTCATGCTTTGTCGTCTTTTCTACCTCATCTGCAGGTAGTAAGCATGTCAAGCTGCGACCTATCAGGCCCCATCGATTCCTCAATGGAAAAGCTTCAAAATCTCTCCATAATTCGTCTGGGCCAGAATAATTTGTCAGGCACAGTGCCGAGCTTCTTTGCTGAATTCTCAAATCTAACACAACTGGATCTCAGTTCTTGTGATTTGAGTGGCAGGTTCCCAAACAACATCTTTCAAGTACGGTCGCTCACTTCTCTTGATCTATCATACAATTATGGTCTTCAAGGTTCTCTGACTGAATTGCCTCAGAACGGATCTCTCCAGACATTGATTCTAAGCGCTACAAGTTTCTCTGGAGCATTACCACCTGCCATTAGAAATTTATGGAAACTGTCTAGATTAGACATATCTGCATGTCGATTTAATGGAACGCTACCAGATTCAATGTTGGATCTCCCTGAGCTCACTTACCTAGACTTGTCATTTAACAACTTCACTGGTACAATCCCATCATTTGGTATGGCCAAGAAGCTTATTCACATAGACCTATCCCAAAATAATTTAAACGGTGGAGTTTCATCGGCTCGTTTCGAAGGCCTCGTAAAGCTAGTCAGCATCAATTTGCAGAGCAATTCCCTCAACGGGAGCATTCCTATGTCTCTGTTTTTGCTCCCGTTGCTACGAAGTATACAGTTATCCAACAACCTCTTTCAAGGTCATATGGATGCAATTTCAAATGTCTCTTCCTCCATGTTACAAGTTCTTGATTTAAGTTATAACAATTTAAGAGGTCCTATTCCTCAATTTATTTTTCATCTCAAAGGGCTTAAGGTCCTCCAACTGTCTTCGAACAAGTTCAACGGCACAATACGGCTAGATATGTTTGAGAGACTTCAAAATCTAACTACATTAGATCTTTCAAACAACAACTTGTCAATTGATGCAAATGTTAAGAATGCCAACCGGTCATCTTTTCCCAGCATGACTAGTTTGATGTTAGCCTCTTGCAATTTGAGACAATTCCCAGGTTTCCTGAGAAACACGTCCAGATTAACCAATTTAGACCTCTCGAACAATGAAATTGCAGAAAAAATACCCAAGTGGATTTGGGAGCTCGGCTATCTTGGTCACTTAAATCTTTCTCACAATTTACTTTGGGAGAGAGAAACAATCCCGTATAATCTTAGCTCTTATAGTAAGTTGCATGTGCTTGACCTTCATGACAACTACCTCCAGGGTACACTTCCACTGTTTCCTATATTGGCCTCTTATTTGGATTATTCTTTCAATGAATTCAGCTCTGTTATTCCCCCTGACATTGGTAACTATCTGTCTTTCATAATCTATCTTTCTCTGTCGCACAATGCTCTTTATGAAAGAATCCCTGTTTCCATCTGCAATGCTTCAAATCTTCGAGTGCTTGATCTTTCCTACAACAACTTTAGTGGGGCGATTCCAGATTGTCTAGCAAAAAGTGAGATTGTTGGTGTATTGGATTTAGGGAAAAACAATCTCAGTAGCAATATTCCTGATACATTTCAAACTTCATGTGCTCTGAAGACTCTCGATCTTAGTAGTAATAATTTAGAAGGTCCAATTCCAAAATCTCTGTCCAATTGCATCACATTAGAGTTGTTAAACATTGGAAATAACAAGATGGATGATGGGTTTCCATGCATGTTGAGCAGAATACCGACACTCCGGGTCATGGTTTTGCGAAGAAGAAACAATTTCCATGGTCGTATTGGTTGTCCAAATGGAAGGGAATGATGTGGAAGATGCTTCAAATTGTTGATCTAGCTTTCAACAATTTTAATGGAACGCTGCCAGGACGAATTTTTCCTACTTGGAAGGCAATGATGCTTGATATAAATCAGACAGCATCAAAGGCAAATCAGATCATCTTTAGCTTCTTTGGATTTGGCCAAGTGAAATATCAGGATCGAGTGATAGTTACCATGAAAGGTCAGGAAAAGACCTTGATTAAAATTCTAACTATCTTCACGTCTATTGACTTCTCGTCCAATCGTATTGAAGGGTCAATACCGGAAGAGATGATGGATTTTACAGCACTCTATGCGCTCAACTTGTCAAATAATAATCTCGCAGGCCGAATCCCATCATCCATAGGGAAACTGCAACGGCTCGAGTCCTTGGACCTGTTAAACAACTCTTTTACTGGAGAGATTCCATCACAACTTGCAAATTTGTCTTTCCTTTCAGTTTTGAACCTCTCCTATAATCATTTCGTTGGAAGGATCCCTACAGGTACACAGCTCCAAACATTTGACTCATCTTCCTTCCAAGGCAATGATGGTCTTTGCGGGCCTCCTTTGACCAGATGTCCAAACCGTGGGGCACAACGGCCAAGGCCACCACCAACGCCTGGAAATAAGCACTCAATTAACTTTGACTTGATCAGAGGTCTGGAATTCGGTGTGGTATTCGGCCTAGGAATTATTATTGGGCCTCTTTTCTTTTGGAAGCAGTGGAGGATAAGGTACTGGAAGTCTGTGGACTCCATTCTCTGCAGCATCTTTCCTCAAGCTTATTTTGATTATGAAATACGTGAAAGGCAATGGTTCAGAGCCCTTCGGTGGAGCCGTTAAGAAACAGGCCTCGTTCAACATGGTAAGCTAGCCCCGCACACTTGTATACATGAGGTAAACCATATGAGACTTATCATCTTCCTTTCTATCCTTAAAATTTATACAAATCTTTTCGAAATCAATTTGCATAACATACATTTTTCTGTTATTTTTACGATTTTATTTCTATCTATCCAACCATTAATTTGACTTTAGTTTTTAAAAATTTAATTCATATATTTTTTAAACATATTTTAAATTTGTGAATTATGTAAAATTATTTATTATGTAATATTTGAATTATAAATACACAAATTGGCCAAAATAATATTTCAAACACGAGTAAAAAAGGACGTAATGAAATATGAATTTCAATAATAAGAGGGGCAATTTAGTCAGTATAACCCCTTTTTTTTTTAGATTTATTAATTTTAATACAATTCTTTTGAAAATTATTTATTTAAATATTATCATAATTATTTATTTTCGGTTCTTTAAATTGGAGAGAGAGGGAGTAGACATTAGAAAATTAAATTATGAGGATAAATTAATAATTTAAAATTTTTTAACATATCTACAAATAATAAAATTTAGTATTTTAATTAGTATCTTTATCGGAATATTCACTGCTTAATTAGACTGAATTGTAGATTTTAAGAATAGGAGGCAGTCTTTGTAATTTTGACAAAACAAAATGGAGGTCATTGAATATGACTGGATTTTCCCGCCTATTTCCTAACTAATTGATTAAAACGAGTCTTTGAATTTGTTCTTCAGTGCTCACGTGATCCTCACATGATAGTATTATTGTTAAGTAACATAATTACATAGGCTTATCCATGTGATGAGGAACGATAGAACATAATGGTGAGATGATAATGATATTATCTAACTTTGAGTCTTAGCAAATGAAATCGTATTAAGATCTTAGAAGAGCACATGTGAAAATATAATACTACGTCTGATCCTAATTATGAGATCTCATTTACTGTCTACAAAGTCTTATAATTAAGACCGGAGGTAGTATATGATTTAAGCTATGATCTAAACGCACATATTGGAGCTTCACTTGGTAAAATTCTGTTTATATCTTTTTCTGCCTTTAAATTCTATTTAGATTTTAAGAACATCGAATTATCCATTTATGCATTTTTAGGAGAAAGCTGTGAAGATGTATTATAGAACAATTTCTTTTATTTAGTAAATATCTGTTCAAGCATTACTTCTTTGGCTGGCCCCCATCGTTGTATGCATGTCTGTGTGTATGTTTGTTTGCACTCGCAAGAATTGAGCCTTCATCATGTAGAGAAAAGCCATATATACATCGTCTAAACTCTCTCTCTCTCTCTCTCTCTCTATATATATATATGTGTGTGTGTGTGTGTGTATTTTAGAGATATTTCTTAGCATTAACTTGAACCGATAATTTTTTTAAAAAAATTACTGAAAACAAAATATGCAATAGTAGTCCAAACTTAATAGTGGTGTTAGTTTATAATGATATCAATTATCTAATTGTTTTTAATGTCTTAAATTTTAGATGAAGTTAATTATCTGGAGTGGCATATCCAAATATGGGCATGGCTTCATCAACAAGAGAGACCAATGAAGATGAAATCTGATTTTATATATGTTGTAATCATTTGAATTTAATAAAGTTGACATGCTCGAAGCTTTGGTGAGATATGCATTAATCGTATTTCTCTATGAATCTGTATTGTACCTGAATTATGGAGATGGTGTTATTAATATGTCAGCTTTCTGATATTTCATGGAGTGATGATCCTGATCTTGTATTTCCTGCAACATATTTTCCGAAATGGCATTTTAGTTTTTATTTATATGTCATATTTATTTCTTTTTTTTTTTGGATAATCTCTTCTTGATTTAGGGGGTGTTTGGATGAAACCAAACCATGATTTGGAAAATAGTTTCTGAAGAATAGATTCTAAGAAAAATAGATTTTCTGAAGAAGTGATTATGATAAAGTGAGAGTATTTGTATAGTTATTGTCAGAAGCACTTTTCATATGTACAAATTACTAAAAAAGGCATACAAATATGATCTACATAAAAGATAGATTTTATAATATATTTTAATTTGAAGGAATAAAATTATTAATAATATTTTTTTTACCAACATAATTAATAATATATAAAAATATAATTAATAAATAATTCATATATGTATATATATTTATAAAAAATTAAAAAGATTAAATATGTTTATAGACAAATGAATAAAAAAGTGCTGTAATAATTAAGATGTTGCATCGATATAGAGCATTTATAATAAGTTTTTTTTTAACTACATATTACCAGTCTGGTCGAAGCTTTCCTTCAATAAAAGTTTAAAACTTTGTCTACATATTAACTCTCCAATTAGGTTTTACATTAATGACTAGAATAATAATCTTACATTTGAAACCAATATTAACTCTCCAATTAGGTTTTACATTAATGACTAGAATAATAATCTTACATTTAAAACCAATATTAACTCTCCAATTAGGTCCTACATTAAAGACTGGGATAATAAATTTGTTATTTTTTTTTTGCCAACATAATAAACAATGAATAAAAACATATATTATTTACTATATCTAGTTCTAAATGTAAGAGCTAGTTGACTAATTTGAATAGATTAAAAAAATAAGTTAAGTTAGTTATTTGTAATAAATATGTATTGTTTTTCCTACAATATCCCTATTAATCAAATTTATTGGTTATAACTTGAAAAACGATAGACAAATATGAGAAATAAAGTAGATTAGGGTTTTATATTTAGGACCAAATAAAAGTTAAATGAGGTCTTATATTAAAGATAGGATACAGTAATTGTTAATATGTGTATATATAATTATAAGATATAACATTATGTTTTTAGAAAAATAAATAATTGTTTTCAACAAAAAAAAATTTACTGTAGGGGGTGGGGGGAGAACTGCTCAAAAAGCAAAAAGTTTTTAGTTATTACAAAACCTTGGTTTTGATAGGCAAACTATGGTTTTATCATAAAACCATGGTTTCAAAAAATTGATGGGTGTTTGGATAATTTTTTCCTCAAACCATGATTGGGCAATCACCCAAACAACTTCATTTCATTTCAATAATCATGGTAATTGGCATTTTCAACAATATAGAAAGTCCCTAATTGAAAAATTGATTAGTGAGAAATATCTAAATTAGAGTATCAATATTTTATGTGTAGAAAATTTGCTGAGTGGTAATGTTTTTTGTGTGTAAAAATTTGTCAAACCCTTCTCACCAATAAAATTTTTAATGCAAAACTATTTGCTAATTTTCCAAAGAAATATAATATTGGCCCCTTGGCATGCTTTATTCTTGATAGTGAAGAAACTCAACAACTAAAACAAACAAAAGCTAAGGAATTACTTCTCTAGTCTTTATTGTATGACTTATTCGACTAATTTTATTAGATTAAGAAAGTTAGATAAGTTAGTTAATTATAAAAAATATGATATATATTTTTTAAAATACCATAATTATTTTTTTTAATATCCCACTGCCTCTCCCATTTGATTATATATAGTTGAGATAATATCAATAGAAATAATTTAAAAATATATATATAAAAAATAGATATTATGTTTAAGACTAACATCAACTATATTGCAAGAGTACATTACAGTGAAAAACTACGGGCCCTTTTTCTTTCAGAAGAAGTGAAACACAAGACATTGGAAATAATATATGAGCAGAATATATTTTGTAGCATCTTTCCACGACTTTATCTTAATTATCAACGGTACGATGAACAATGATGCACCCTACCTCATGGAAGTCATCATCCAATGGGCCTATAACCATAGGTAAAGTTTCGTACTACCTTTTTTTTTTTTTTGACAAGCAAGTTTCGTACTACTTTTTTTTTACCAGAGAGTTTCGTACTACTTTTAGTTCTTGTTATATAAATTTTCTGTATATATATGATAACGTAACAAGTTTTGTTTAAAATATTTTTCTTCACCAAGCTAAGCTGTCTTTTTCAAAAATCATTGTCCACAAGGTACTTAGCGAGAAGATCAACATGATACTCCTTTAATCTTAAATATAAGATTTATTTTATAATATAATATAATATTTTATCTTATAAAATAAGTTTTATATTTAGAGCAATAAAAGAGTAATAATTTTTTAAATGACATTTTGTAAGGAAAAGTGTTCATGAGGACATGGTCACCCATATATGAAAATTTCCAGCATTTCATCCCATTATCACTATTGCTGAAACATGTCAACCGCACAACGCTTGAGTAGTCAATTTTTTCCCCATTACAATGTCACATTTTGATGAAATCTAAGAGGACTTTGAAATCCGGTCAAAAAAAGAGGACTTTGAAAAAATATATTTATGTAAATCGAATCAAATTTTTTATATTTATTTTATATGCTGTAAAATTATTTTTAAAATTATGGTTTGATTTTTTTATCTAATATTCCAACTGAGTTTTGTAAACTCAAATTCAAATAAAAAATCAACTAGTTTAATATAATTTATATTTGATAAGTTTTTGGGAAAATTCCAGAAAAGGTCCCTTGAATATATGAAATCTCAGATTGGGTCCTAAAATTTCTAAAATGACAGAAAGGGTCAGTGACCTAATCTGTCATTTGGCAAATTAAGAGGAATTGACAATTTTGCCCTTATTTGTATTCATTCACTACAATGATTTAAGAAATCACTATAAGGGTTTAAGCATTACTTAGATTCATGTAGCGAATAACTACTCGTTTTTTCATATTCAGGTGTATTGTTATTAACTACAACTAATTTTATAATCACTAGAACAATGTAAGTATTACCTAGATTCGTGTAAAGAATAACTATTCACTTTTTCATAGTCAGATACCTTATTATTAACTACAACTAATCTTGTAATTATTAACTACAACTAATCTTGTAATCATTAGAACAGTGTAAGCGTTACCTAGATTTGTGTAGAGAATAACTACTCACTTAGTTAGGGACAAAATTGTCAATTGGTCTTAATTTCACAAATGACAGATTGGGTCATTGACCCTTTCTGTCATTTTGGAAATTCCAGGACCCAATCTGGGATTTCATATATTCGAGGGACCTTTTCTAGAATTTTTCCTAAGTTTTTTTAAAGAAAAAAGTAGTTTGACAAAAAATTATTTATATTCTATATATTGAAAAATTAGTTTTAAAACTTGCTCACTTTTAACGAGCTTCTTGCTTCTCAACTTGCTTTTTCACTTCTCCATGCTAAGTTCACACCACTAGATGCCTCCTTTTCCTAACGGGATTAATGATTACGCAGGATAGAGCTCATTGCGCACCGAAGTGATATAAAATTGCCATTACATGCTTTTTTATCATAAAATATTACCGTTAGTTTGATAATAAAGTTACAAAAGACTTGCTACAGGTTGCAACTACAGTCACTTGGTGAAGAGGAAGGACGCATATATCTGTATTTGCCTTCTGTTTCCAACGGTCTTGTGCTGCATTAGTATTAAATTTTCAACGTTAGGTACGTTCTTTCATGCTCCATCCAAATCGTTCTTGTCCCTCTCAAGCCGCCAGAAAGGTCAACACGGAAACGCGTGGAATCCTTATGCACCACTCACTAGTCTTCAACCTTTTTTTTTTTTTAATTGACCAGAACACTGCTTTTCAACTGAGACCTGCGTATTTTCTGCGAACTTTATTAGCTTCATTTACCAACTAACAATGACTTAGACTTTTCGAGTTTACTCTGACGTTGCCTCACTAGTCTTCTACGGCATATGTGCCTTTTCTTCTCAAGTGTCTTTCTTCTGCGTTCTCATTCATCTTTAGCAGCCAGACCCAACTCATATTTTGTACAGGTGAAAGCTGAAAGCATAGGCCCGAGAATTCACGTTCATGGTTGTGAGTCCCCTGCGGCCGCCACTAGTTTTTTTTCAGTTGTATGAATCTTTCTCACACTACACTCCGATGAGAACATCATTAGTTTTATGGCCTTCCTTCTTTTTCTGTTATTATTGGGCATGTCTTAGTTTCAACGTCTCTCTGGTTTCTGGGGGTTATGTCCCCTGTCTTGACCAGCAGAAAATGTTACTTCAATTGAAGAAAAACGTCAAATTCAACCCTGCTGGTTCCAGAAAATTGTTGTTATGGAATGAAAGCAGCCCTTGCAATGAGTGGAGAGGCGTAAGTTGGGATGAGGAGGGGCATGTTGCTGGTCTGGACCTGAGTGGGGAATCAATATCTGGTGGACTCGACAATTCTAATCCTCTGTTCAGTCTCCGACATCTCAAGCATTTGAATTTGGCTTTCAATAACTTCAATTCTGTGATTCCATCCAGAATCAAGGATTTGAAGAGCTTAACTTCTCTTAATTTGTCAAATGCTGGTTTCGTGGAGCAGATACCAATGGATGTTGCTCGGCTGACAAGGTTAACCATTCTTGATCTGTCTACTTCTTACTATTTAGGAGGATCATCTCTGAAACTTGAGAATCCAAATTTGGTGAGGCTTGTTCGGAACCTCAGTGAAGTTAGAGAACTATATCTGGATGGCATTAATATGGCGCTCCAGGGAAATAAATGGGGTCATGCTTTGTCGTCTTTTCTACCTCATCTACAGGTACTAAGCATGTCAAGCTGCAACCTATCAGGCCCCATCGATTCCTCAATGGAAAAGCTTCAAAATCTCTCCATAATTCGTCTGGGCCAGAATAATTTGTCAGGCGCAGTGCCGAGCTTCTTTGCTAACTTCCCAAACCTAACACAACTGGATCTCAGTTCTTGTAATTTGAGTGGTAGGTTTCCAAATAAGATCTTCCAGGTACGGTCGCTCACTTCTCTTGATCTATCATACAATTACGGTCTTCAGGGTTCTCTGACTGAATTGCCTCAGAGCGGATCTCTCCAGACATTGATTCTAAGCGGTACAAGTTTCTCTGGTGCATTACCACCTTCCATTAGAAATTTATGGAAACTGTCTAGATTAGACATATCTGCATGTCAATTTAATGGAACACTACCAGATTCAATGTTGGATCTCCCTGAGCTCACTTACCTAGACTTGTCATTTAACAACTTCACTGGTACAGTCCCATCATTTGGTATGGCCAAGAAGCTTATTCACATAGACCTATCTCAAAATAATTTAAACGGTGGAGTTTCATCGGCTCTTTTCAAAGGCCTCGTAAAGCTAGTCAGCATCAATTTGCAGAGCAATTCCCTCAATGGAAGCATTCCTATGTCTCTGTTTTTGCTCCCGTTGCTACGAAGTATACAGTTCTCCAACAACCTCTTTCAGGGTCATATTGATGCAATTTCAAATGTCTCTTCCTCCATGTTACAAGTTCTTGATTTAAGTTATAACAATTTAAGAGGTCCTATTCCTCAATTTATTTTTCATCTCAAAGGGCTTAAGGTCCTCCAACTGTCTTCGAACAAGTTCAATGACACAATACGGCTGGATATGTTTGGGAGACTTCAAAATCTAACTACATTAGATCTTTCAAACAACAGCCTGTCCATTAATGCAAATGTTGAGAATGTCAAACGGTCACTTTTTCCCAGCATGACTAGTTTGATGTTAGCGTCTTGCAATTTGAGACAATTCCCAGGTTTCCTGAGAAATATGTCCAGATTAACCAAGCTAGACCTCTCGAAAAATGAAATTGCAGAAAAAATACCCAGGTGGATTTGGGAGCTCGGCTATCTTGGTCACTTAAATCTTTCTCACAATTTACTTCGGGAGAGAGAAACAATCCCGTATAATCTTAGCTCTTATAGTAAGTTGTATGTGCTTGACCTTCATCACAACTACCTCCATGGTACACTTCCACTGTTTCCTATGTTGGCATCTTATTTGGATTATTCTTTCAATGAATTCAGCTCTGTTATTCCCCCTGACATTGGTAACTATCTGTCTTTCACAATCTATCTGTCTCTGTCACACAATGCTCTTTATGAAAGAATCCCTGTTTCCATCTGCAATGCTTCAAATCTTCGAGTGCTTGATCTTTCCTACAACAACTTTAGCGGGGGGATTCCAGATTGTCTAGCAAAAAGTGAGACTCTTGGTGTATTGGATTTAGGGAAAAACAATCTTAGTGGCAATATTTCTGATACATTTCAAACTTCATGTACTTTGAAGACTCTCGATCTTAGTAGTAATAATTTAGAAGGTCCAATTCCAAAATCTCTGTCCAATTGCATCACATTAGAGTTGTTAAACATTGGAAATAACAAGATGGATGATGGGTTTCCATGCATGTTGAAGACAATACCTACACTCCGGGTCATGGTTTTGCGAAGAAACAATTTCCATGGTCCTATTGGGTGTCCAAATATGAAGAGAATGACGTGGAAGATGCTTCAAATTGTTGATCTAGCTTTCAACAATTTTAATGGAACGCTGCCAAGACGATGTTTTCCGACTTGGAAGGCAATGATGCTTGATAGAAATAAAACAGCATCAAAGGCAAATCAGATCATCTTTAGCTTCTTTGGATTTGGCCAAGTGAAATATCAGGATCGAGTGATTGTTACCATGAAAGGTCAAGAAATCACCTTGATTAAAATTCTAACTGTCTTCACGTCTATTGACTTATCATCCAATCGTATTGAAGGGTCAATACCAGAAGAGATGATGGATTTTACAGCACTCCATGGGCTCAACTTGTCAAATAATAATTTCACGGGCAGAATCCCATCATCCATAGGAAAATTGGAGCAGCTTGAGTCCTTGGACTTGTCAAACAACTCTTTTGCTGGAGAGATTCCATCACAACTAGCGAATTTGTCTTTCCTTTCATTTTTGAACCTCTCCTATAATCATTTCGTTGGGAAGATCCCTACAGGCACACAGCTTCAAACATTTGACTCATCTTCTTTCGTTTTTAACCAAGGATTATGTGGGCCTCCTCTACGTAAGTGTAGCACAGATGAGAGCATTTCAACAAATCGTTCGACAAGTGTTGTATATGCAGATTCAGGAGTTGAGTTTGATTGGCAGTTTGTATTCAAAGGAGTGGGTTTTGGGGTTGGATCAGGATTGGTTGTTGCTCTCTTGATGTTGTGGGACAAAGGGAGAATCTGGAGCAACAACTGCATTGATAGAATTCTTCTGTTGATTCTAACTAAGATTGATTCGGTTTGCACACCCACAAGGGTTTATGAAGCAGAAGATGATACTGAAGAACATAAATCAGACATGGCAGACGAGAATGATCATCGCAATAAAGAAGCTTGCAATTTCAATGATCTAAATTTTCGAGGGAAGTACTGTGTTTTCTGTTCCCATCTTGACATGAGCATGAAGAAGGCCATTCATGATCCAAGGTGTACATGCCTTTACTCACCAACCATTTCACCATCTACTTGTTCTTCAAAGTCAAATACAGATTCCTCTTAGCTTCGTCCACCATGAAAGCTTGATCTTCTTTGTCTGTCTTGTTCATTTCCTCCATGTTTTCTTCTGCACACATTACATGTAAATGATGAAGTACAAAATAATGGTGAAAAACAACAATGAGAATAATCAATAAAGTCACTTTTTTTTCTTGTTGTGGTATCATGTGAAAACAAATTAATGAAATAATGCCGACGCTCAATGAGGATTTTCATCAGACATTTGGAGGCCCTATCGATATGCTCACTTTAATCGCCATAGCGCAGAGAATAGATTATGAATTAGCAATTGAGATTTCCCCCATGGACCAAATATTTCACCAGAAGAAAATGATAGCGAATCTCAGAGTCGTTGGAGTAAAAGGAGCCGCGAGAGATTTGACAGGGTAAAGAGACCGAAGTTTATTTTCTTCAACTTTTTAAACTTCATATTTATTATTTTATTTTTATTTGAAATAGTCGCTAAGGATAAATATGAAAACCTTTTATCTACTCTTTTAAAAAATCATACTCCTCTCTTTAATGTAAGACCCAATTAGAATTGATATTGGTTCTTTATATAAGATTTATTTTATATGTTTATCAATTTTTTTAAATTAATCATATTGGTATTCTTTCAACAATAATCAAATAGAAAAAAAAAGAAAAATTAAGAAAGATGTTTAGAGTATTTTTAAAAAAGTTTAAGAAAAATATTTATAGTATTTTAAAAAACGTATCATATTAACTAATTTAATTAACATTAAGAATAGGAAGAGTATTTTGCTTAAAACATATTCCCATTTATTTTTATTAAAACAATGAGATAATAAGATAAACTCTATTAACAATAATTAAAAATTATTGCATTCTACTCTTTTCTGATGAAGATATTGCATTCTACCCCATAAAAGTCTTGTACTCAGGTCAGAACAAATGATGAAAACAAATCAATTCTTGTATTTAAAATTAAAGGAAGTACTATCTTAAGAAATTGTCAATTTGGCTCACTTATTCTAATGATGTTTGTCCATAAATTCAGGCAAAAAAAACAGAAGTTTGTCCATAAACTAAATCGAATGTTTGAGATTTGACAATGAGAACGGAGATCCATAAAAGTCAAAAGTTTTTTTTTTTTTTAACCTGTCAGGAAAAGTCAAAAGTACAATATAGTTCTCCAATTAATGACAAACTAGCGTACGCTACCCCTTGCGCATTCTAATTAAAAAATTGTTATTTTTTTATTAAAATTAATTGAAGAATCTCACAAATTGAATTTTTTTTTAACATCTCTAATTTGGCATACACACAAATATTAAAATTATAATGAGAGCACACATTTCACATTGAAGTTTCTTTTTTTTTTTGCACGTTGAAGTTTCATGAACATTGTAAATTCTTAAAATCTTATTGTAAACAATATTTATTATAGTCTTAGAATCAAGGTCATTTCATGAATAGATGTCAAGGAGCATTTAAATCCATCTTACCCCATTTTCATTTTGAAAATTCTAAGGCTCGTTCCTACATAATACAATCAATGAATGAATCAAGAATAGATGTCAGAATGGATCAAATCACCAGCATAAATACTCTTAGTGAAAATAAGTGCATAAGTGAAAGGCCCTTGTTGTCTGTACTTCTCCACAATAATGAAGATTTAGAGAAGAGAACCCAAATCAAACTAACAACACAAGTATATTCAAGTATTAGTCCCAGTCAGCCAGAAATTCACATCAACGTAAATAGTTCAACCAACAATTTCACTTTGACCTTAAATACTCATCAACTTCAAAAAAATGTACTACCCCGATTCTTAATATAAGACCTTGTTTGATTTTTATTCTGGTCCTAATTATAAGACCCCAATCCACTTTTTCTCTCATATTTATGTATTATTTTCTAAGATAGTCCTTTTAATAACGGTAGTTCTAGCCAATAAACTTGATTAGTAAGGATATTTTAGGAAATATAACACTTATTTATTACAAATAACTAACTTAACTTATTTTCTTAATTTTCTCAAATTAATCAATTAGGTCTTATAATTAGGACTGGAGGTAGCATATCATTAAATAGAAACCACAGTTCCTGCAAGGACGTAAAACGGAATAATGTTGCTTGAATGCTTTATGTCGAATTATACCATCCCCGATCATTACTCTGATGGCTAATGAAGATGGGACATTTGGACTTATGTTGAAAAGCATATTGGTGAGGTTAGCCATTATATTCTCATACCACAAGCACAACGGCCAAGAAAAATCTCACATAACAAAATGAGTTGAAATTGAAAATATTAAAAAAAAAATCACACAATCTTGTCTCAACATACAGTATTTCCAATCACAAAAACTAAAATGCTCAACCATATCTTTCAAAATACAACATAATGATGGGCACTAATTCATGTAATAAGGTAGTACAAGAACAACAAAGTCATACACAGCATTAGTGAGTCCATAATTGGGATTTGAAGAAGAAATAGAGTAAACCAGAGAGATTTTGATTCCTTTCTCATCTCAAATTCATTGTACACTAAGCCTCATATTCACTGACTTTTTCTGACCAGATTATTTATCAGTTGACTAACATGTGGCAAGCACAATGTGATTTTAAGTAATCCAAACCATATTCTCATATGTTCTTAATAATCCAAACAGCTGCAAACACACGCAAAATAAATTAACAAAGCTTTTCACAGAATGACAATAGTCTAGAGAATAAGTTGTTGGTCGTGTCTTTTGAATGCTCTCAGCAGTGCTATGTTTGGTGGAACATGTTATTTGAGGACATTTTTCGTCACAAAGAACTCATTCAGCTTTACAACCTTGATACTTACGCAAGTGCTAGGAAGCTGTAGTCAAAGATATCAAAATGCTCAATCTATAAGCAAGAAAATTAATGTTGAATTTAGCTGTGCTTTGCTGCCTTTATTTGACTATGTAAAAAAATTTCTAGAATTGTTGCCTCCACCTTGACATAAGCCATAAATTAAAGACAAATTTTATTAATGAAAGACATGTAAAAATACATACAACAATATATAACCCTTAACCTATACATAAAAAAAAGTCTTCAAAGATACATAATAATATTAAGCTTCAATTAATGAAACTAAAATATAGTTTCTATATATCAGGAAATCTGAGATTCCTAGATGAATGATTTAAATAATTAAATAATTAAACAAAATGTGATAGAATATGTACAGAAAAATATATATTGTAAAAAATTCAGAATGTAATGAAATAAAAAGGTTGGTAAAGAAGAAGCATTTTACCACAGATTGAAGGGCTAAGCAGATTCCAAACATATTGCCACCAAACTAAAGCAAGATTTGATTGAGAAACATGACATTGCTACCTTCATTTGCCTGTGTTGGAAAATTTCAAGCAATTGCTGCCTCCACCTTTACATAAGCATTAGTCTGAAACAAAGTATATTTCACGCAAGAAAATTTCCACCAATTGCTTAGTATATAGAATTGATTTTACAATATGAAGAAATGAGTCAAATGACTCAAACTTATGATTATAATTTTAAAAAAAATGATGTCTTTTAAAAGTGAATAAATTGCAGGAATGATCATTAATGATGAATGGGACGAAGAGATTTTTAATACAAGTTGAACCATCCATATCATCTGAATCTCCTACAGAAACAAAACCCATATCACCAAAATACTAACACTGTACATATTATTAATGATTTGCGTTTTCACAAAGTAGAGGAGGGAGAAGCATATAACTCGAATTGGAAACATAAGTATCCAGACTCACCACCAATGAATTATTCCCATAAGAAAAGTTGTCCAGAATAGAATCCAAAATTGAAGAACGAAAAATTTGAAGAACCAGTAAGAAAACATGCTCTGGAGCGTGCATTCTTGGTTAAACTCAAAAAATCCATTTTATTAGCATTCAGGATAGAAGATTGATTGTAATGAGGGAGAAGTTTAGTCAAAGAAAGCTTGATACAAGGACTTGTCTGGCTTTAAAGGTGCCTTCTTTCTCTGCCTCGTCGGTTCCTCCCCAGCCTCGCCTCTCGCATGATAGTTATTTGCCCATTCATTTCTAAAACTGATAAAGCCAGCTCCCCACTTGGGTCCTCGTCGGTTCCTCCCCAGCCTCGCCTCTCGCATGATAGTTATTTGCCCATTCATTTCTAAAACTGATAAAGCCAGCTCCCCACTTGGGTCCTCACCTAACCATTAAAACCAAGACTAGAATCATCTAGCAAAATAATAAGACCAAAATCATTCACCTTCAATCCAGATGAAAGATACGGTTCAAAAAGCAAACGAAAGGAAATCTGAAATAAAGACAAAAATGAAGAACATAACTTTTCCCACTTGCCTGGGTGAGATTCGATGGCAGAGGAGGGGTTAGAGTGTTCAAAAACCTGAGATGGAACGTGCCAGAGGGTAATCAAAATTTGAACACCCTTGGATTAGAGAGATGAGAATGTAGGGGAGAGAAATTTGATCACAACCTTCTGGAATCTTTCTTTCGGGTTTCATGCTTGAATGAGGGAAGACATTTGCTCAGTCAAATGATTTTGAATTTTGAATTTGAATGGAACTGTCTCTCTAGGGACCGACCCAAAGCGGAAATAGATTCTCTCTTGCCTCTAGAGTTGTCGGCCTCTTCTCCATTTGCATGTCTCTGCACCTGCGATTCAGCTTTCTACAGTTCTGCATCACTGCGACTCTGAATGCTGCTCCGCTCTCTCGGGGTTCCCATTCGGTGCTCCTCAGATGATGAGCGCTCATCACCTGAGCAATCTAGACCGTACACATTTAATCTGAACGGTTTAGATTTAATATTTTTAAATAATAATTTTAAAATAGAAAAAAATTATATTTTTAAAAAATAATAGTTAAGAAATTTTTTATATTTTTTATCGTATGCCGATTAAAATAATTATTTTTAAAAAATAAAAATAAAATTAAAATTAAATCTAGACCCTCCAAATCGGATCTGAACAGTCCAATGAGTATTGGGTGCTCATCAAAACTGATGAGCACCCAATGCAAATCCGTTTGTTTTTTGAGGACAAGGGAGGGGAGAAGAGGGGAGAGGAGAAGAAGTTTTATCCTCATCTTATTTAATTTAATTAAAAAGAAAAGAAAAGATAATTAATAATTTTTTATTTGGTTCAAGAAGGAGAAGGACAGAATAGTAATAATTAATATATTATTTTATC